CTGCAGTTGTGTGACAGGATACTGGCTCATTAATCAGAAAGTGATCGCTTTAATTTAACCTGAGTGACTCTGGGGTGATCCTGTCAACACACCTTTACCTAGGTATTCACAAGATCAAAGGACATTTGTCTTACATGAGCTTGGCGAAGAAACATGAATGATGATTACGAATAACTAATATTTTTGTGAGCTAAACGTATAAGTGTGAGGTTTGTAATTGCAGTTTTTTTTCCTTAGGTTGATCGAGTTTGTGTAAAATCAAACTCGGCATATAGCCTGTTCTAAACATTAATGCAGAAAAAGACAGTGTAATTGCATTTTTTTCTTCTAACTAAGATGCCTTTGAAATAAGCCTGGAGGGGATTGTCAATAATAAATCAACATCAGAGACGGAAGGAAGATCTGCAGTTATTCTGGCCTGTATGTGATCTATTCTTATGGAACCAAATGATGCCAGTTTGTGACTGTATCGGTAATATGCTAAATATGGCAATGAAAACACCAACACATGCATTAAACATTACCCTCTCAAACACATAGCCTATGTAAACACACACACAGACACATACACACACAGAATCTGCACCTGTCCTCATACATCATTACTATGCAAAAACACATATTTGCCCAGCTTCCTCACAGAGCTTGGAAGCCATCCTTTTCCCCCCCATCCTTGCTGTTTTTCAGAGGGAATCGTTTGTTAACAGAGCAGATATTTGGTCACATGAACAAAATATGAAGCGTGCGTTTGTGAAAAGCAGGCAAACAGAAGCAGGGGCCCACTCATCCGTTACAAGAATGAATGGCCATCATTAGCATGAGGCTCCCCAGCAGTACCCTGCAATGCAGCGACACACACAATGGCGAGTGCCACGCTTCCCCCTGCCGTTCCCCCAGAGAAGCCCTTTTGTTTGAGCAGCATCTGGACCTGACCTCCATGCATTCGAGGCTGATGACCCCCGTCTCAGCTCCTCATATCTTCTCCTCTCCTAACCTCCTCTTAAAATCCTGCCTCTACAACAAACCACCCCCCCCCCCTCCTCCTCCTCTCTTCTCCTCTCCTAACCTCCTCTTAAAATCCTGCCTCTACAACAAACCACCCCCCCCCTCCTCCTCCTCTCTTCTCCTCTCCTAACCTCCTCTTAAAATCCTGCCTCTACAACAAACCACCCCCCCCCCCTCCTCCTCCTCCTCCTCCTCTCTTCTCCTTCCCTATACCCTGTACGTTCTTCACACACAGATACCCCCCACCCTCCCTTCCTCTTCTAGCTAAGGAGAGCAGCCATCTCTTGCTTCTTGAAAAGAGGGTCTGTGTACTAGTAGGCCTTACACAAAGCCTGCAGGGTGAATTAGAAAACCAAAGAGGAAAAAGCACCAGGGCTACTGGCCATCTGTCCCTCTGGGTTGGACGTGCCTGCTCCGAGTGTGCCTGCCCCCCCTCTTTCCCTCACATAATTCCCACCCCTACCCCCACCTTCCCTGATTCCCTTAGCCTATATACACAGCATCAACCACATACACACAGTCTCTGCCATGCATACATCACAGGCTTTGGATGGTGGATGGCGATGAGAGTGGAAAAAAAGAAGACGGCGAGAGGAGAGAATAAGGAGCTGCCACTTGCCTGGATGCAGAGAGAGCCTGAAGCCAGTAAATCAAGCCGTAATCCCTTTCATTGTGTGAGCGGCAAACAGAGAAATTTGTCTCCAACAATGATTTCCCCGAGATCGGCAGTGGAGTGGAAAACAAGGAAGCGAGGGAGTGAAGGACAGCGAGTAGGGGAGGTTGAGAGAGAGAGGGAGTAAGAGAGAGAGAGAGAGAGAGGAGGAGATGGAGGGTGAGAGCAGCAGAGGCAAGGAGACAGTGGGAGCAGCTAGAGTGTGACAGAGAGAGACAGAGGAAGGCAGCAGTCACCGCCGAGCCACAGGGACGCTGACACTCACTGGAGGATTTGAAGGGAAGAGAGGAGGACGACAGAGAAGAGAGCAGGGAGGGAGAGGGAGAGATCAGGGTGGTGGGGGGGGGGGGTGATTGGGTCGCACTGTGGCTCAAACGCTGGGATAACGCCGAGATAACCCTCATCCCCAAGCAGCAGCTGTAGACGTGAGAGGGAAATGAATCCCACGAGAGAACGACTTCTCTATCAATTGTGACATTTGCTGCACATGATCACAATGGCCATCTGTAGCAGCGAGGGTATGAAGGAGAGGGGAGGAGGATGGGTTGACAGAGACAGGGGGGGGGGCTTCATATAAACACACACATTCAAACACATGCCTCAAAGGGAAAAGAAAACACCTCGACCAGTGGTGGAGGGAAAGGCACCTGTTCGAGTCAAGCAAGAGGGAGCAACACATGTGCCCAGGAGAGGGGGAGGAGGAGACATGAGAGACACGGGACAAAGGAAACAGAGGGCTGAGAAGTGTGGCTTTTATTTGACTGCCTTTTGTCATTCTGCCTTGTCATGCCAAGAAAACATTTGCATGTGTGTGTGTGTGTGAGAGAGAGACAATAAACAGGAGGTGGCAGTGATAGTAGGTCAACAGAAAGGGACAGAGGGAGGGACAGGAAGAAAGAAAGAGAGAGGAGCGGTAAACATTTCAGTGCAGAGTTGACCAGCATTGTGTTGTGGCCCATTTAGCCTTTTTCAGTCTTAAGTGGAAAAAGATATGAGACAAATACACACACAGTCAAGACAAACATATGCCCTACACAGAATAAGTCTCGTGATATACAAAATGTTTCTCCATGTAAACCAATTAAATGAAAAGACCAACAAAGATCACCATTTTTAGATGTTTGTAAAGCCAAAGCCTGATATACAGTAAAGGCCTTTTATTCCTCTGTGCCAAAGACTATTGTTAAAATACATCTCTGTTTAACGCGAGGACATGTTCTTTTTTCAATATAAACGTGGCAATGTTGTTGCTTTTAAATCAATCCCACATACAGCATCCTGCTGCTTTAAAAACTCACAAAGCACCATATTCACGTCTGAAAGAAATACCCAACAAACTCCTTTTAACTGTTTGAGTCACATTTTCTGACTACCTGTGCTTTTGTGACCCGTTTAGACTTTTGTCTTCAGTATCAACTATATGACTCAGTGCTACATACGCAGTAACACATTGTTTATATAGGAACAATATCGATAAACAGCAGCATTTTCAAAATCCATTCTGTCTAGTCAATGATACTTTGAAAACACTGGACCCTTTTAAATGTTTAGGTTCAACACAAACATTTGAATACTTCTAATATTTCAAAGTAATCATGGGCAAATGCTCCATTCACAATGCAACATATATATATATATATTTATTTTCTCGCTGTACAGCTCAACTGAACTGCTTTTATACAAACATGCAGCCCGAAGTGCTTCAAATAACAAGATTAAAACGAATATCTGAACACTTTTTCTATTTTATTATGTCAACGCTGTCTGTCCTCTGTGCACAGGCCTTTCCATCGTGATCTCTGTGAGAGCCCAACATGTTCATCATATAATCAGGCAGGCATCTATTTTCAATATATGAGAACATGATAATCCCATGCAGTGGAGGCTCAGAGAGGCGGATTTACCAGTCACATGGCTGAGCGCAAAGGAAGGAAAGACAGCCAGGGATAGAGCAGAGAGGCAGAGAGAGAATAAGCAATGAGAAAGAAACAGAGAGAAAGAAAACAAAAATATGAATCTAGTCAAGTGGAATCATGTTCTATTTCTATATTGAATTAGGTATGTGCATATGTGTGATAATCAATTCACCAGGGAGGAACCAAGCACACACACAAACAACCACTCAATAACACACATTCTAATCACATCCCAGAACCCCTGTGCCATTTATTGAAACAATTTAAGGCTAGAGCCACACGGAGACGAAACAGGTCGTATCCGCTACAGTTCTCTATCTTATAGACGGTTCGTCCACACGAGGCCGACAGGGAAACGCGGATAACGATAACGGGTCCCAAGGTGGATAGATCTGCGGACGGAACGCTCTGGGGGGCCTAGCGGCTCCGTGTGTACGACCTATACGATCGTTTCTTGATAACGATGAAGCCATAGCCCCGCCTCTCCCCACCTCTGCTGCTCACTGCTGTAGCATGGTCAGTAGCTACTGACCATGCTACAGATGTTAGTGCAAAATCTACAGCTCCTCTACCACAACCATCAGCAACAAGTGGACATGGAGAACTACATGAACTACATGTTGCTAAATCCACCGCGGAGAATAAACAGAAGGGCAACCAGGCAACCATGGCAAACATGCTCGGGGGGTCTTCTTCGCTGCTTTTGTGGCGGAAGTACAGCGCCACTTACTGGACCGGCATATGTACTACAGCGTCTCCAGCGGGTCGAGAGGTCTCGTGTGGACGGAAGACTTTTTTTATATCGAATTCGGTTCGTTTTCCGTTTCGTCTCCGTGTGACTGAGCCTAAGCCTCAAGCTTTGGGGTCATGAAAATTCAAGAAAAGACATGACATGTGTAAAATAGGGAAATGAACAGATTTGGACTGTGTCAGCCAAACCGCTGGACTGTGTCGAATCCAAGGGTTTGTGACGTAACCCAGCCCAGCTGTGGAGTCTGCCACCGTGCTGGATGTTTGGCTCGAGACACACTGTTTGAATATTTCACAGTTATGTGAGACAGCTGCGAAACTGGTGCCTATGGCGCGGCCAAGTCACCAGTGACTTTAATGGATAGTGATTTGATAAAAATCCACAGTGATGGTGTTTGGAAATTGTATGTTTATGCTCGTTTCAGAGCTGGTGAAGATTTTAAATGATAAAAAGGAAATGAATAGGGACAGAATAATTTATTGGTGAGTGAAAGGCAAGAATGAGACTAAGAGGAGATAAAACAAATGAGAAAGAAGCTAAAAGAAAGTGGGTAATTGGGGTAAAGACGAAGAAACCATGCCAAAGACTGGTTAAATTCACGTTCAAGCATTAACAAGCATATTATCACCATTATAATGTTCTTATATATACTCACAAGGCACAGCATGGCGATAGAGATTGGCTCTGATGGTCTTCTGCAGTTCGTGGTCGGGGGAAGACTTCTGAAACCTCAGGCTCAGATAGCGCTTCAGGTCCTTGTTGAGCTTGTGACCTGGAAACAGCAGACAGGCAAAATCAGCTCCAGTAAACAAACCTTCATGTCAAGAAACATCGTCTCTTCGCTGTTTACATGCCGGCATTTGACCAGAAGTAAGGTTATGAAAGGCTGTGACATTTCCATCGTTGAAATGCTCCTGGACACTTAAAGAGCACAAGTCAGACATTGTCTACTTTCTCTAGCCAATTTGGAAACACAGAAGCCCTGCAGTAAATATTTGTGATAAAGAATGGATTAAAATGTTCATATATATATTAACTATTTTGTGTCCATATGATGAAACAAGGATTACTTTAGCAAATGTTGTTGAGCAGGAATAATGTTTACCATTTTCGTTTAGTATGTTAGCATGCTAACAATCTATCAAACATGGTTTAAAGACGGACAGCCTGACCCAGCGAAACTGCCATCAATGGAGCTTCGACCTACGAGATTTCATTTATATAAAATGTAATCTATTTAATTAGATTGCCAATGGAGCAAATTGCAAATAAATAAACAACATTTACAGTCTGTGAAGTGCAGAGAACTTCACAGTATGTAACAGGATGTTTAATTTAAAGAGAAACAGAGATTGAGGTGGGTTTGGTTAATTAATTAAAATAGTCTCTGATTGGCTTGAACTCCCAGGCTTACTCAGCATCCATCCAATCAGAGGTGCAAATGCTGCTGGCTGAGTTTGGATAGAGCACCGGCGCTCACAATGGGGCCAGATGGTCAGAGCTCGCTCTCACGCCAGGGTCTCATTTAGGACCATTTAATGATCTCCAAATATATCTTCCATGTCTGGGAGGAGCTGGCAAGCCGCTCTCTTGGGGGAGGTGCCATGGCCTCCTGTTGGCCTCCCATCACAGCAGAGGAGTTTCACTTGGCCCCGTGCTTTCAGATGGCAGGGTCAGCGTGGGTAGGTAGTGTGGCATATTTCAGTGTGAAAAGGAATACTTGGGGGCGATGCATTTGTCAGATTTGATTGTATCACTAAAAAGTGGGTGTCTCTTTGCAAACACGCAGTGATAGGGTGTTGTAAAAAACAGTTTGACCTCCACACCTCCCACAACAACATTGTTAGATCAGGGGGAAAAGGGCAAGGCACAAATGAATAAATTAGACCTCAACCACATCCTTTGGAAATGCAAACAAAGTTGTTTACTATCAGAACACAAACCTGCTACTATGATAGCAATGATGCTCCGCTACAACTAACTCATGCAACAGTAGGTGGAAGAGACCAGAATAACTTTTATTTGGAAATTGTATTGTATGAAACTTGAAACCCTACATTTGTAATGTTGCTTACTCTTTTTTCCCTGCAATTACTACCAAAATAAGGCTTAGTTAAGCTTGAGTAGTAGTAAGACATATTTGGAGAAGGTTAATATTAATCCACAAATGTATGGTCAATTATTATGTTGTTTAATTCATACAAAAATCGAAGTGTCGTTATGTGCTGGACGACTGCCAGAAAGTACAAAGTAATAATCAAGTATCCAGTCTTTAAGCTAAGCTAAGCTAAGCTAACTGGCTGCTGGCTTCATCAGAATCATAATTACTTTATTGGTCCCACAGCGGGGGACATATTAACTGCACATATATGACGGGGATATTCATCTTTTCATATCTCTCAGTTGGAAAGTAAATAAGTGTATTTCATCCAAATGTCTACGTAGGTCAGATCAATGGGTTGACTGCCACCAGAGTTAGTCACATGGCTGTGGTTGATGTTTGGAAGTGAAAATCACACTAAATGAGGCAGGAAGGAGGTAGGAAGTGCTTGCAGCTCAAGAGGAAGTGCCGCTGCTGAGCGACTGGAGAGAGGGAGAGGGGAAGGCAGGCGCATCATAAGCATCAGTGCAGCAGGTGAGAAAGTGAAAATGGTCTTAAAGCAGAGGAGTATTTGTCATCTGCCCTTTGGTGACATCATCTGTCAGCTTCACATGCACCTCCTCCCCCCATGGACATTACTATAAATACTGAAGCATGTAACACTAATCATGTGAAGTTCCAAAAGAAACAACAACAACACATGTTATTCTACAATGAGGATGGAAAAATCTGACGCCTGAGTAACTGCAATTAGAATCAGCGCCCCTGATACATTTGGTGAGGTTGTGGTTAAGGTTATAATACAAATAATATTCAAAATGTAAATCCCATTCATAAATAAACACAGCCAAGCTAATATTAGCATAGCCATAATTCTGTCACTGGTCTGGTTTTCTACCCAGAAGTGGAAACACTGGTTGGTAGTGTATCTTGCTGTATTTTTCCGTTCCTCTCTCTCTCTCTCTCACTCTCACTCTCACACACACACACACACACACACACACACACACACACACACACACACACACACACACACACACACACACACACACACACACACACACCACACACACACACACACACACACACACACACACACACACACACACACACACACACACACACACACACACACACACACACACACACACACACACACACTCACACACACACACACACACAACTGTGTAATTCAGTGCAAGCAAAGCACAGTCAGGTAATTGTTACCTAGCAACCAGCCAGTGCTGACGACCATCATTACGGCCCCTGCTAGGCAAGCAGCAGTCAGATTGTGAAAGGAAAAACAGACACAACAGCACATTTGCACTCATACACCACACATAACACATATACAAGTATTCTTTCAATTCATCCTCTGCTGCTCCACTTCCATGTCTATGGTGATCTGATTTATATAAACAGCTCCTCGGATACAATATGTTACACATACATTAGTGTTGTGCATTCAGCGTCGAGTCAGTTTTGCTGGCTCAGATGCTTTCCCTGAGATAAGGATCGCTGTCAGGAACAACCCCCCCTCCTGTGGGTACGCACCGCGAGCAGAGGGCGGGCTGCCCAGGTGTCGTGCTCCATCAAAGACAAAGTCATCAAATATTCAATATTTATGAGGACTAAAGCCGTGTGGATCAGAGATTACAATCACAACACTGTGTGTGTGCAGCTCATTCACTGTTTACTTAGTTTCTCCCTGGGTTTATATTCACAAATGCTGTTTCACTTATCATATAACCAGATGTTATGGTGCTGTAGATGTCAAAAGGAAATCATAAAATAAAAACCAACTGGCTAAATCATTGTTTGATTTGTAACATTTCAGTGGCGTCAGATTTTGATACATTTTCAGCTCAGAGATATCCTCAGAAAGTGCTACACATCTTTATTTCCTTGCCAGATAATATTATGTTCATATTTGCAAAATAATTTCATGGTATTTGAGTGATTGGAAAAAGCAATAGATTTTCTTTTCTTGACCCATTTAAAGTGGTTTCCCAGCAGCATGTAACAAAAGAAAAACAAAGCTTAAGAATCCAACAAAAACAACCAGATGTGGTGAGAAAATAGGAGATATAATCGCAGCTCCACCACCACTCGCTGCAGCGTTCTACACAATTTAAACAATACACAGTGAATTGTTCACCGTTTGTATTGAATGGAGATCCTTGTCTTGTATACAATAAGATACAGGGTATTGTCTGTGAATACATAGCTGTCCGTTTCTCCTAAATATAGTCTGAATTGTGCTGATATTTTTATAAAATGGTCTTATATTAAGGGATTACATCTTTTATTATAGGTGCAGATTAAAAAAAAAAAATGTAGATCCTGTATTACAGTAACTGCTCAGTGAGCTTTAATAGCACACATCAATATAATCGACGTCAGTGTATTCACGATTATTTGCAATGTAGAAAATAGTCTCAGGGCATTTATAATGAAACAATTACTACTCCAGCTTAGTAAAGTTGTGGCTCCACAGAGCAACATATAAATTGAAACATAAATGAACAATTTCTAGCAACTATTATGTGAATATTAGCTGCTATTCTTAGTATGATATGATAGTTATTGGATTATATTTTAGTTTTGGACAATAAGTCAGACACACGAATTAAATGTGTTATCTTGGGCTCTGGGTAACTGGGCAATTTTAATGATTATCTACTATTTTATAAAGCAAAAGATGAGAAGATAAATGTTAGTTGCAGCCGGAAAAATGACACTGCTTTTCTGACTGTCAGTGAAAATACTACAAACAACTAAAAATCAGATGATGGATGGTCCATCTTATCATCGAGAGACTGATTTTTAGAGCTTGAGAAGGATATTCTTGATTCTCCATAACAATGAAATCACTCCATCAGGGGAAATCTGAGACACCAGAGACGTTAGCGCATCGAGAGATGTTTCCTGGGAGCTGAGATGTTTGTGGAGCCGGCTGGTAAAAGACTGTTGGGTAGAGATCGGAGCTTTTTAACCGCGAAGAGATGAGTGAGGATGTGAGGGCCCTGTCGTTTTACAGATAGAAAGAGAGTGAGACAGAGAGATGGGTTTAACCCAAATAAGAGTGGATTATACACATCCTCCATGCCTCCAGTCAGCATTACATAACCTTAAATCTAGTTATGCATTCCTGTCTCATTTTGGGGAATGTAGGGGGGGAGGGGGGATGTGTGTGTTCTCAAACATCTAAGGAGATCATGATTCACACAGATATACACACAAACAAATTAATATCTGTTTTAAAGATGCAATCTTTATGGTTGTCTAAGCTTCAAGATGCAAACATAAGCTGAATAATTTATTAAATTCACAGAAAAATCGATTTGATTATCAATTAACATAATTATTTAATGCAAAATGTTCAGAAAACGCCGTTTTCAGCCCTCTCAAATATGTAGATGGCTAAATCTTCTCTGTTTTCACATATAAAACTGGACTAACAAGACATTATCTTGGAATTTTTTTGAAACCTCTTTTTAGGTTTGGAAGTTTTTTTTACGCTATGCAACACACAATGGAAGTGAATTTGGAGAGGATTAAATATAAAATGTTTGCATTTTAACATAATGGTGAACACAAATGAACAAAACATATGGTTGGTGGCTGCTTCAAACATCAGCAAAAGACTTTCAAGCAGCTGCAGCCGATAG